ATGACCTGTAAAAAAATTTACTCTAAGGAATACCTGTAAAACTCATCCATTTTAGGAAGACCTGTAAAAAGTCCAGATATATTTTCTACTTTAAATGTTTAAATTTCTTTCATTAAATCTCTCCCCTTCCCTCCACTTGAATAAATGTTATCTTCTTTATAACACAATTATGTACTTATAAAAATTCCACATAACTCAAATTTCATGGAAAAGAAAGAAACAATAAAATAATTCATCAAAAAACAGATTTATCATTTTACTCCCCTACCCCATAATGGAAGGGAAATTTCTACAGGAAATATCAACTTCAAACAATGCAAAAACAAAACAAAAAAATACTAGAAAACACTCCAGTCATTGTGATTCTCATCAAGAGATTATCGAAAAATAAATAAAAGTTGGTATTGTTGTTGTTCTTGCCTCTTTAAAAACATATTTGAAAATGTTTTTTGAACTTACCACACAAAAGGCAGGATGTATAAACCACACACGCACTCGCACACACTCGCACATATGAACAGCATATGACCCCTGAAAGCAATACAAACAAACAAAAACCCAGTGAAAAAGAACTCTGAAAACCAAGAAATGTCAATAGAGAAAAATCCCTGGAATTATAACAGTTATAACACTTGTTGCTGCTGCTGCCACTCCAGCTACACACAACAATGTTGTACACACGTTAACGGATGCACACACACACATACACACTCTCACACGCATTCACATTCTCAAGTGCTCACATTGCGGTGAGTGTTCCCTTAAGTGTTTTGTTTTATTGTATTTTCATTCTATGTGATGAGCATTTCGCTCTCTCTTTTATCATGTAAACAGTTAAACCCGCCATGCACGCTCGCACACACACACATACTCTTTTACATGTGATATTTGCAAAACTCCAATAAGAATCTAGAGAACAGTAGCAGCAGCAGCAACAACATTAATTATGTTATTCTAACAATAGGCATGACATGACATCATCATCACAGCATCATTGTGTTCCTTTGCAAACTCTTTCTTGTTGTAATAATGACCACACAGACATGCACACACACTCGTACAATGAAGTGGAATTCCCTTCATGAAGGGGCTTCAAGTGTCCTTCAAAACACAATTCAGAGGTAAACAAGATTTTGAAAATTTGATTGAAGCTCTAAAAAATATCCCACGCACACACAATATACAAATATGTACATACATACACACATTTGTATATTTGTTTGTGTTGTATCTGCTTGTATGTATGTTTGCTTTGTATAACGTGTGAAAAATCGCGAGCACACACACATCCACACATAACCGGCTAAAGAAGACGCACTACAAAACAATAATTTCATGGAATTTCCCTATAGCATTAGCCAGCCACTCACAGAATTTTGGCGAAAAATTTAAATACGTGATGGGGGTTTTATGGGGAAATTTAAATTGCAAGTGGGTTTCAATTATGACTGAAATTAAAAAAAAATCAACGCCCAGCCTATCCTTAAACTATAAAAGAGGATTACAAACTATAGAATATTGGCAAATATGGGAAACCTGCTGAAGTTTTATTATATGCAAGGGGTCTAAAGGAAAAGTTTTTAAAAGCATATTTTCCATTATTCGAATATCTTCGTCTGTCAAATAAAATATTAAAAAATAAAAAAATCTATAAAAGCCCTTCAAATAGTGGAAGTCAAATACGTGGATTTTTAGGACAAAACATAGCCTCCATTTTTAAAAGTTTTACGAGACTTACCAAAAGATTGTTTTGTTTTAATATCTTTAAGGCTAAATATAATATAAAATTTTTAAAAGTTTTACGAGACTTACCAAAAGATTGTTTTGTTTTAATATCTTTAAGGCTAAATATAAGGTTGGATTATTCAAAAATAGGAGTTTTGATATTTTGTAAAAGGATAAAAGGACGTACCTATTGAAATCGGAGAAAATCGGTTCAGATTTAGATATAGCTTCCATATATAGTTTCGTCCGATTTAATGTAAATGGAGCACCATACTGCCAATATTGGTCCAATTGAGACAGAATTTTGCACAACGAACTGAATTGGGTCTGGATTCAGATTTAGACATGGCTCCAATTTTCTAAATATTTTTTTTTCTTCTCTACCTTATTCCACTTTAGTAGATTTTAGTTTTCTAGGTCAACAAATTTCATTTAAAACCATTTTTAAAATGTAAGTAATATATGGGTCAATTTTGACAAATTGTATTTGCAATGCATCTCGTTTTTTATATAAAATATAATTTACATAAGCGTTCAATTTTCCCATTACTGTTTTAACAAAAAAAAAAAACTTTCCATTTTATTTGTTTCCTGATAAATTATTCCGTCCACAGAAGCAACAAAGAACATGATTTATATTACTTTTACTCATACTCTCACTGTCATTCTCTCAGAACAATCAAATTGAATTGACTTAAAAAATATCACTCACCTCACTCTCATTTGGAGGTAATTTATTTGAAACTCATTTGCCGTTATGTCCTCTCTCTATGCTAAGTTCCCATTATTGTCTATCTGTGAAGGCCAAGCAGACTCTTCTTATCACAGATTGACAAAAAATGGTTGTTAGTAATGTTTTCTCCATTCTCTTCACATATCTCTCACAATTAACTAACCGTGCCAAAGGAAATAAAACAAAACCTTATGTTTAAAGAGATAACCCTTTTAACTCGGTTACACAAGGAACTGTCATATCTATACCGAGTATCTTGTTTATATATTTGTTTGTTTGAGTGTATGTCCACATGAAAAACTAAACACGCTAGTTTAATCCCAATACACCTAAGTATTTTATATTGTAAAGGACAATCTTAAAAATGTTACTAAGGTGACCAGGTTTATTAAAATTTTCTTTGGAGATGAATCGAAATGAAAAAGGGAAAGAGCCAAGGTTATACTTCACAAACATGGGAGAAGTCTGAGTCTTCCCATCTTCCTTTTATACACTTGTTTTTAGCTTGCCAGGTTGCCTATGCTTAATTTTCCCCAGATGTCATAATACATTAATTTTCTGCTCATAACATGGTCATCCCACATTTAACCTCGGCATTCAAATGTCATATTTCCTTATTTCATTCCTTTCGTTTTGTTTTCTTCAAAATCCCAAAAAACATTTCATAAAAATTACCCAAGGGACCACCGAGACTGATGATTGAGTGAGTGACTGAGTTAAGCAGGAAATCTTTGCTGTTGGAATGCCAACAAACGTCCTAAGAAAACAATTTAATTTGAATTTTTTGTAGTTGTTGTTCCTTTTTTGGTTTTGTTTGTCATGCTGAGCATTTTCTGGTCATGTGGTTTGTTCCGTGTGTAAGAAGTTATGATGGTTTTGTTTTGTGGTTTATGGGCCAGACAATTTGGCCCACAAAAGAAATATGGATGTATGTGTGCATGTGTTCCCTCATTGTTCATATTTTGTGAAATCAAGTCATAAAAAAGTGCTTAATGACACTTATTACTCTTCGCTTGTTTTCTTAGCACCCCCAGGCACTCACCCCCTCTATATCATCTGAATTGTGAGTGCCAACGAAGTTGAAGTGATTGGTGGCATTGTTGTCTTTTCATTTTTTTGTCTTTTTTCTGATAATAAAGTAAACAATTTTTAATGTTGGCCCATAATTCATGTTGGCTTAGAAATAAAAATTGCCGAACAACAATGGCAAGAAGAAGAAACAGATTCAATTTATTTTACTTGTTTGCCGTTCCATACCACAAAACAAGAAAAACAAAAAAATTGAATTAAATTGTTTTTAAAATTGATGTGATTATTTATGGTGGTGGGGAGAGAGTGATAAGGCAGAAGGATATGCGGACTGGGATTTATTGGAAATACATATGTTGGAATAAAAAAATATGTTCGGCGATTTGCAATCAAATCAAGTACTCCAGGAAATGGAGGAACATATTCAAACTACCTGCAATCATGTAATTGTAATATGACCTCTGTAAAAAATAGATAACAATATACCGACATTAAGTTGGAAAATTATCCTGAACCATCAAAATATTTTATATAAGGACTAGGTCAAAAATACCAAAAATTTTACATTACTTAGATATGGAGGTTATGTCCAAATAGGGATCCATATTGACAATTCCCTCCGTACAAACAATTTCCTCATCTACAAAAACCCTGAAAGCCAACTTATGCCACTTCGATTGAAAAATGTGTCTAAATCTTTCAAAATTTGGCAGGACTACGAATTGCAAGTTGGAATTCAAAATCTCCTGTATGTCAACTTGCAAACATGCGGCTAAAGCCTTCAAAACACCAACAATGGAGTGGTACATTTTTATATGGAGGCTATACCAAAACTTGGACCTAATATAGAAAATTGTCAACAACCGAGAATGCCAAATACAGCAACTTCGGCTGAAGAATGCCTCTAGGACCATGAAAAGGATTTGAATCGGGACGCATCGCTAGTTGAAGGCTTTGGTAAAACAAATTTAACGTTCAGATTTTTCAGGACGTCTCCAAGACAACTGCAACTTCAGTGGACTCTTTCAACTAGGAAACAATGATCATATCCGTCAATCCGTCCACAACCAAATATTGCCGATACAGTACCTGATTGACTGTTAACGTCGGGAACATCCCATCCCATATCTCAGGAAATAAGTATTTCCGCAGAAAAAATATGTCTTTGTAATCATAACCCCTAGGCGGTGTGCGAATGGTTCTATATTGGACTTTTACAAAGTTTGGGAATCTATCAGGTCACATGAAACGTCTGCAACTATACATGCCAGCATTTTCACCGGCCCTTATACTAGACTTAAACACAAACTTCTTTATCGACGTTCTTAATCGATATATTTATTAAAACATTCCTCACAGAGATAGGTTCCCATTTAAAACTCGACCTTCATCCTTCGAAGACAAAACTAAATCCAAATTATTTACATTCCTTATGATTTATTTAGCACAAATAAAACTTAAAACTACTATACCAAAATTCCAACAATGTCTTATACCTCTTCCGCTTTTTCTTATTAATAAATTGGAAAATTATTATCAATTTTATAATGCCAGGCATGTAGGCCACCCTTAATATCAAATATAGCACGTTGGGGAAATTTCTGCAGGATGTGTTGAGCGGCCAATTGCGAATCATTACCACGACGACAAAGCAGAACAATACCACGTTCTTCATCTTTCAACTCGTCCTCAAATCGTTTCAAATATGAATCATTTAAAATAGTTTTCAATGGAACATTTTCGGAATGCGGCAGACGACATATTTCAAATTCAGCCGGTTGGCGTACGTCCATTAAAATATGTTTGGTATTCACAACTTGATCTATATATTCCTCCACGCTGAGTCTATTTTCCAAGGGTAAAATATTTAAAGCCGTGTCTTTATCGGAAGCATGCATACCACAAAATTGTTCATAATCAATCAATTGGGTAATCATGGGCTTGGGTGAACAGACATCACAGTCGGGACGTTTTGAACGTAAGCGAATATTACGGAATTGACAACGACCACCATCGAAAATGAGTAGGCGACCAGCTAATACCTCACCACCCAAACCTCCCAGGGCCACCTTGATCGCCTCCAGAGCCTGTAGAGATCCAATGACACCGGTAATTGCACCCAACACCCCACCATCACCACAATTGGTAACCGTATCTGGAGGTGGTGGTACCGGATAGAGACACCTATAGCAGGGACAATTTTCACCATAATTGTATACCGTCAATTGGCCATCCATTTGTAGAGCACTGCCCGAAATCAAGGGTTTATTCAACATGACACAGGCATCATTTAAGAGATACCGTGTCGCCACATTGTCGGTACAATCCAATACGACATCATATTGTCGTAAAATTTCCAAAGCATTTTCACTGTTCAACAGCAACCTGTGGCATTCGATTTGACAATGGGGATTGATTTGTTGCAGTGCCTGTTTGGCGGACTCCACCTTGGCCATGCCAATGGACAGCTCAGTGTGGAGGGTTTGACGATGGAAATTGCTACGTTCCACCTCATCGTAATCCACCAAACCCAAACGACCACAACCGGCAGCCAAGAGATATTGAGATGAGGGACAACCCAAACCACCCATGCCGACAATGAGGAAAGCGGTCTGTTTCAATTTCAGCTGACCCTTAACACCGAAATTCGGTAAAATCAATTGGCGACTGTAACGGGCGATGTCATCATTGTTTAACATTTGTTCAGTGGCTGCTGCTCCAACTTGTTGTTGTTGCTTTTCCTGTTCATTTTGTTTTTGCTGAGCCTCCAATTCGGATAAACGTTTCTCCTTAGCGGCACAATTCCTGCGTAGTTCCTGGATTTCACGTCGTAGTATTTCGATTTCATCGTCCATTTTAGTTTCGGCAGCCATTTTGTGTGTGCAACTTTGTCTGAAGATCTTGTGGGTGATAAGGTTTTTAACACTACGTTTTAGTATTGATTCAAAATAGATTTGAATTCAATGTGAAATTGGGAAATCAATCCGTGTCAGAACGCTAGTCCACTGATTAATGACAACAATGTGTTAATAAAAACGTTCCACATGCTACGAATAGAGAAGGAAAGATTATAAAAAAAATACAGAAACAACAAAATTGTGAGTGGTTCGTATTGTTTACGAATGAGGGCGAAGAATAATCAATCAGCTGTTCAAAATGTCTGCTATAGGGATCTGTAATTCTAATTATGGCTGTGTTGACTTCGTTGTTGCTATGGCAATGTTGCCATATTGTAAATATATTTTATTGGCATGATTGCCATGATGGCAATCCATTTCTTTGGGAAACTATTTGAATTTTTACAGCAATCTTCTGATAGAAATTAATATGTTATGGAAGAAACAAACATTTCAGGGTAGTCCCTACTGGATTTTGGTAAGGAATTATAACCTTTAATTCATTTTTCACTTTTCTGTTGTGTTGAAAAAATGTAAAAAAAAACACAGCAAATTTGACAGACGAAGTTACTATCTACAGAGTTGCTTTTTTGACATTAATATTGATACATATATGGGGACTATGGCAAAGCATAGAACTATATATAGAAATTCCTGCAAAGACGATTTTCTACGTCCAAGAACCCAAAATGCCCGATTTCATCCTCTTACTTTGAAAATGTTAAGAAAAATCTTGATTTAGAAAATTCAGCTATGCACTTAAAAAACGCGAAAATGGGTCGAAACATAAATTGTATGTGTATACTCATAACTTCGTACTTTATGAATGCAACTTCCACATTAAATTACTTCTATTGGAAATTCTACAAAATAGTCGGCCTTCGGTCGAGGATTTAATATTTTGATCTTCGAAAGGTAGACATTTTAACCCTTTAATGAAAGCCACTTCTCATTGTGATCCTGTTTTAAAATACTGGTTGCCGTTATAATCAGGGTTGAACCAAACTGTTGACTGTTTTCGAAATCAATGTACGAAAAATCTTCCATAACAAAAATGTATATTCCGTTTTGGATTATATTGGAGGTGATTATAATGAACAAAAAATACATTATTTTTGACCATTATGTAGGGGAGGTAGCAGAACGAGTTAATTGATACTTCAACGTTCCGAAGTTTTTTTAAGTTAGGGAGAAATATTATTATTGTATCGAGTTGGTTACTTTCTCCATAGTTATAGGCTCATCAGTGAGACTTACATTTCGAAATTGAATCCAAGCTTAATAAAAAATACTTATTAAAAAATATATTAAAAAAATCCACGGTAATTTTATAAAAAAAATCCTCGCTTAAAATTTAAATAAAAATAAATAATCAACAGCTACACAAAAACTATTTTAAATTCGCGATTGAAAAATATTAAAATATATATACATATATTTAAAGTAATATATTATCGGAAACTAATTTAATTTTATTACATATTAATTTTTTACCAAGCTTTGATTTAGTCTCGTGTATTACCCCATACGTTGACATTTCAAATACAACCCTGTGCTAACTACGTCTTTTTGTTATATGCCGGCGTTAAAATATGGCAACACTGTAGTTTTGCAAACAAAAAACTTTTCTCCGCTGTGGCGTGTGTGTGTTTATAACGAAAAGGGGAGATTATTAATAAATTTTTTTATACAAAATGGAAGATATTAAAACAAGTTTAGATAAAATATTGGCCAAATTCAATGATTCCGTTTCACATTCGGCACCGAAAAAATTAACATTCGAACATTTGAGTGATTCCTTCAATGATTCGGGTACAAGTAAGTTTGTGGTTGTGATGATGCCTGTCTGCTTGGCAGCGGCATTTGTTTTTATGTACATAATAAATTGGTGGTTTTTGTTTGTAGTTCCCAAAAAGAGACGATTGTCGCAGAGTTTTGAAGATAATGGCTTGAATATCAGTCTCAACAATAGCAATATATCGTTGAATAGCAGTGCCGCTCCACCACCCAGTCCGTGGGAGACCAGGCGAATGAAGGCAGATTTAATTGAGGCTAGGACAAGGGTAAGTAGCTTTAGGTAGTTTTGTAAAGCGATAAAAAGACTGTACGAATTTGCTATTTTTTGTAGATTTCAAAACTCAAGCAGGAAGTGGATCGTTTGCACAAATTGCGCCAGGAGTCGGAGACTATATACGAAAGTCGTGTTACCGAACTAAAAAAGCAATGTGAATTCTCTTCCAATAAAATCCAAGATTTGGAAAAACATATGCAGTTGCTAAGAAAACGTGAACATGCAGCCAAACAAGATCTGATCAAGGCTCAAAGTGAGTTGCAGCAACAAAAGCATGGCTATGAGGAGGTGATTATTAAATTGCAGCGGGCCAAGCATGAGGTGGAGGAAAATGCGCGCTTGGTTCAGAACAGTATGGCCAATGAATTGGGTGAATACAAGAGACATGCGGAGAAAATTGAATTGGTAAGTCCGGATAAATATAATTAGAATTTTCATATTATTTATGGTTTTGTTTACAAGGAATTGGAGCTAAGCTGCGATGAATTGGAGTCCCTTAGAAGTCAAATGGATGACTTGAAATCCAAGGCCTCCTGTTATGATGATCTGAAGTTGGACCATGAAAAAGTCAACCAGGAATTGGAAAATGCCAATCAACGTATCAAGGAATTGGAATTTGAAATTGCTTCGTATAATGATTGGAAAGAAATTACGAAGGTAGGTTACGTACTTTAATACAACTTAAAAGAATTTGTATTTGTGAATAGGATTTTGTAAAAAAATGTGCTAAATGTGTGTTCTGAAAGTTTTTATAGACATTTTCATGTATATATATTTTAAAAAAACTAAGCCCACCTTCTATTATTTTTAGAACTCCCAAGATCGCTTGCTTAGCATTCCCAATATGGACAAAGAATTGGAGCGATTACGATCCAACAATAAACACCTACAAGACTTATTGGGCAATAAATTACTTTTGGAGGAGCAAGTTTATGATTTGCGGTCCCGTCTCGAGCGAGAAGAAGGTGCTCGCTCTGAAGTTGTAGCCCTGCAAGTCCAGCTAAAACATGCCCAAGAAGAAGTTAAGGAATGGGTAAAGGTGGCCCAAGATCATTGCTCACCAAATACGCTAGTCAGTCCATTGGCATTGCGAGCTCGCATTGAAGAACTCCTTCAACATGATGTCCTTATGGCAAGTGAAAAAAATACCAAGGCTTCTGAATCGAAAACAATGGAATCTGAACTCTTGGATTACAAACAAAAATGTGAAATCTATTCGAAAAATATGGAAGAATTGAATGTGGCTCTCAAACGTCATAAGGCCTTTAAGGATCGTGTGCAAAAGAAACTCTTATTGGTCTCCAAGGAACGGGATTGTTATAAACAACTATTGGAGAACTTTGAAAAAGACCTAACCATTTCCAATCCCACTGCACCAGATCTATCTTCCACAGAGAATCAATTGAAGACACGTATTGAAATGTTAGAGAAGACCTTAGTGGGTTACAAGGATATGTGTGCCAGTTTGGAGAAAGAATTAAATTCTGCCAAATCGCTACCAAATTCCGAACAGACTGGTGATCAAAGTAGTGTTAACATGAGTGTGGATGCCAATGCCTCTGGTTATGAACATTTCAAAAAGGAATTGGATACTCTGCGCATGGAAAATGAACGTTTGAGAAGACGCAAAGAGGAATTAGAGTTGGAATTGGAACATCGTTGTCTCAAAGGTGATTTCAATATGGACAAATATAAGGTGGTCCATATGAGAATGAATCCAGCCAATGAGGCCTATGAAAATGCCGATAATTTAATTGAAAAATTACAGGCGGAGGTATGGCGTTTTTTCTTTCATATTTTCAGAAAAATATTTTAATTTTAAATTTCATTCAATTTCAGATTGAACGTTTAAAACGCAAAAACAAAAAACTCGAAGAAGACAATGAAGTCACTCAGGCCCGTCTCAATGAAACCAGCAACATGACGATGAATTTCAAGGAAATAAATCAGCTGCGCGGTGAACTCGAGTCAATGAATTCCAAAATGAAGAAAATGAAGGAATGCTACAAAACAGCCAGCATGGAGTTCCGTGAAGTTGTTTACATGCTATTTGGCTATCGTATTGACAGAGTGGGATCCAATACAAATTACAAGTATGTTAAAAAAATATTACATTTCCTAGAAATGCTTTTCATTTAAAAAATGTTTTAATTTCTTTACAGAATCTCCAGCATGTATGCCGAAGATCCAGATCATTACTTAAATTTCCGTTTAAATGAATCCAATATGTTGGATATGCTGGAGACACCATACTCAGCAACGCTTAAGTCACTGATTGAAACCCAGCTGGTGGGCAATAAATCGCTGCCCGCCTTTTTAAGTGCATTAACATTGGATCTATTTCAAAAGGCAACAATAACAATGTCTTAATACAGCAAGAAAACAAACACGCACGCAGAAATCTGCAAGAATGGTAATGATGATGGTGTGGTCCATGAGCGGCATGCTGTGTGCTAAGTACTAGTAGTAGTAGTAGTTCATATATTTTTTCTAAGTAAATCCCAACGATAAGTATTTTTTATGAATCAGTTCACAAAAAAAAGCATTCTTCTTCTTGATCGTTCTCTTCATTTTTTTGTGAGAGCAAGATATGAAAATCGAAAACTTTGCCAAGTTCCAAATAAAAAAATAACAACAAGAAAAAGAAACATATGGAACGTTAATATCATCATTCACATACTATGTTAAGTAATACACACTGTATATTGTGCATATTAATAATTATTAGTAGTAAACTACATAAATATCAATACATACACACAAACAAAAATTTTTGAAATCTGCCTTTTATTGAACCTGGGAATAAACTTCATCTTGGAGAGCTTTCGATATTGTCGGCAACGAACAACTAGATCATCTGTATAGTAAATTCTGTGATATAGATATTTTTTATATAGATTTGGCACGCCGGACAACTAAATTCTTATTTGGCATCACAAAATTACTTCCGTATGTTTTTTAGGTAATCTTAAAAAATGTTTGATCAAATTTAGAAGCTTTCACATTATCATTTGCTTAAAAAAATACAAAAGAATTTTTTGGTGTTGATAAAATTTTTGATTTGTTCGTTACAAAAAAAGGATAATATTTTCAATTTTAAAAGTCGCTAAAAATAATGTTGGAAATTTCAAGCCGTTTAAAATCGCTACAAACAATTGAAAAAATCACGCCGTTTGAAATTGCTAAAAATAAAAAAGTCCATGTCTTTTGAAATTGCTTAGAATAATTTGAAACCAGTAAGGAAAGTAGTAAAGTCGGACTGGGCCGACTATATGATACCCTTCACCACTTTGGGTATGTCCTACAAATGTATCCTAAAAGACGTATCCTTTCGAAGTAACATTGACATAAAATTGAACGAACTTAAATATGTGAGTCAAATTTATATATAGCAGCTATGCTATATCTATATCTGAACATTGTATCAATCGGCCTAGCTATGGACTTTACTGAAAATAGGACTATTTTCACGAAATTTTGCACACATCATTCTAGACTTAATTCAGTACGCTGTGCCAAAATTCGTCCAAATTGAATGATTTTCAGGGACTTTGGTGCCCATTTACCTAAAATCGGGCTAAAACATATATGGAAGCTATATCTAAATCTGAACCGATTTTCAGGAAACTTAACACACATCATTCTAGACCTAATCCAGTGCACTATACCAAATTTCGTGCAAATCGAAAGATATATAGGGACTTTGGTACACCATTTACATTAAATCGGACGAAAATATATATGGGAGCTATATCTAAATCTGAACCGATTTTTCCCAATTTCAATAGGGTTCGTCCTTGGGCCAAATAAGTGACCTATGCCAAATTTCAACCAATTCGAATCATAAATGAGACCTGTACTTTGTTTACAATTTAACATGGACAGACAGACGGAAATGCATAAATCGACTTAAAAAGCGATTCTATGCATTTTAAAAAGGAACCATGTATCTATCTCGTTTCCTTTTGCCTGTTACAAACATATGCACAAAGACATAATACCCTGCACCACAATGTGGTGAAGGGTATAAAAATCACTCCTCTCGAAGTCAGAATACATTCCAAACTACAATGTACGAATTTCAGTGTATCAGAACAACATTATTCAAATATATTCTATTCTTCATAAAAACAAAAAACTTGAACTTTCACCCATACACATATGCATACGATTTTTTCGAGTCATTCAAGGGGTACCAACAAACGAAATAATTTTTTTTCAAAACTGAAATGCCGCATTTATTTGCATTGTATAATGATTTGAAATTAAGCCGTTTTTGTTTTGGGTTTCTGTGGTGATACCAACAAAGCGATTTTATAAAAAAGTAAACACTTACCGTAATGTATCAATTATAAATTTTTATTTTTGTTTGAAAGAAAGTCAACAAGAATATGGTTTGTTTACTTTACGGCTTAGTTATTTTAAATCTTCATTTGATAAATGAACGGAATGGTTGGAATAGGTTGTTAGAGTTGCTATTTTCACATGTAATCCGAAGAATTTGTCTGTTGCTATTTTTAATTTTTTATTTTCTTTTCAAAATTGATTTATTTTTTGTTTACTTATTTGTCTTTGTCGCTTGGATTTTTTTACAGTTGTTATAAAAAGAAGAGATTAATTCAAATATTTGTCATATATACTAATTGTATTTCAATTGATAAATTTGCTGCAAGGTGTCATCTTTGTGATGAATGAATGAATGCACGAAAAAACATCTGAAGAAACGCGATTTCTGAGGGAAGTCTTTTCTTTTTTTATTTTCTTTGCAATGTCATTATTTTTTGTTTGGTTTTGGCGTCATTATGTGTATTTCTTTGTATTTCAGAGGAAATTTTGGTTTTTGTTGTTATATTAATTCATTCACAAAATATTTTTTCGTAGAATTTTCGACTGCATCGTCACAAACTCCTCCATCTCCATTACTATTAACACATGCTCTAACTGACTAACTACACCAGTAGCATTACTGGAAGACTACTAAAAGCCCATCGGCAAAACTAAATAGCAACCGCATTGTTTACCCTCGTCTTAAGTCTTATCACAAAGAAAGAAAAAAAAGAAACACAAAATTGTTTTTGAGTTCTCTTCTAAAACAATATCCGAATAAACCACAAATTTCGTTTGTTCTCCGCTCCGATATACATTTTGTTGTATATTTGAATAAAAGTCAACTACTACATTGGGCTAAAGCAATAGCAACAGGCCGGTCGGTCGGTTGATCGCTGGGTCTCCCCATAATATGTAGATATGTCTGTCATGTATATTTCATGTGCTGCTTGCTTTTCTTTCGTTATATTTTTTTGTCAATGAGTTGTTGCCGCGCGCTTCCAAGCTGTTGTATTTGTTATTATTTTTTATTGTAGGGAAGAAGGAGGTGGATACTGTGAGTGTAAATTCTTGTCTCATTTGTATAGTTATTAATAAAATATAGAATTACAACAATAGATAATTTCTCGTGCATACTTTGTAAAATTTGTGATCTATAGTCGAATATATGCAACGGATTAGATGCGGAGGCAAAAAGGAAGCAGTTTGTGTTATTAATACTTTCGCGATATTAGATGAAAAGAGCTAGAGCCGATCGCTAAAAACAATAAAAAAATCCACACCTCTTGAAATCGCTAAAAATTTACACCAGTATAAATTTAATAACGTTTAAAAAATCCACGCCATGTATAGACCCTTCAAAATAATTTTAAAAAATCATTTTTGAAAAATCCGTGTCTTGTATTTTTGTTGCTTTTGGGTCTCCAAAGTCTATTTTTGTGGTGACACAATTACGGTAGTCTCCATACTCAAAGCAGAGTCTTTAATAAACCGAATATGTGGTGTTTTTCATATATGACTTGTATTTTCCTTCAGAATTTACTTGTTGTCGTTTTGTGTAACTTTAAATGCAAATACGTCAAAATTTAATGCTTCTTGTAATACAGCGCGCTTCTTCATTTCAATATTTATACTAATTATGGAATTAATATATCAATATTCTAATAGAATAAAATATAGATTAAATATGTATAAAAGTAAATACCTTATTTAGAGGGCCAATATTTTAGAGACTTGCTCGGGGGTCTTTGAAAATATAGCTTCAGGATGTTCAAAACCATTTGCCGGGTCGTGAACACGTTCATAGATTTGCTTATAAATTGCCACAATGACATTGAATGATCTCTTTTGCACCGCATTACGATGGGAACTTGACATAATCAATTGGATTTGTGGCAGAAGCAAAACTTCAGGCATTTGTAAAAATGCATCCATTTTATTCATGAAAATCTTTAAAAGATTTGATTCAATCTTCGATTGATTCGTTTGGAGAATGGTGTAGATGGGACCCAATTGTAAATTTGCCACTAGGGATGAAGCTTGTTCTGACGTGAGTGTGTCAATTTGGGCTTCCGATTGAGCCTGCAGACGTTCTACACGCTCATCCATATATTCATAGACGGCCAAAGAGTTTTGCATGTGGTAAATACAATTTAGTAAATATACCGACATATCAATTGTGGGTAAATGTGATGCAGACTCCTGTACAGATTGTAGCAATGGGTCTATGATGCAAGAGACAATTTTGGTAATATCCGATTGACGACCATCAACCATTGTGGCCACTGAAAGTATCTCTTTCAGAAGATTTAATAAACGTCCCAAACTGGCGGGTGGCACCAAATCTCTTTGTGGTGGCTCCGCAGCTGATCCTGCAGGTTTTTGCAAAATATGTTTTACTTGGGCTGCCAAGGCGTTCAAATATATTTCTTCACTTGATTTTTGTAAATCAGTTAGGCATTGTTCCAAAGATCCTCCTTGGACCACTTGTCGCATAATTTGTTGATAGAATCGTAGTAAGTTTGAAATTGCGAATAAAACAATGGGATCTTTTTCGGAAGTTAAAATTGTATCCACTCGCACCTTCAAGGGATGGCATACACCCTCAACTATATATGCCAAAGCATTACGTTTTTGTTCCGATATATCATTTTTATCACATTCCTTGAGAAGTAAATTTAGATTATCCTTCTCTGTGGGAATGGATTGATGCAACCAAGCAAACATATCACCAATGTAACGTTTTGGATCGTGGGCATGCATTTCAATGGGTTTGGGATTGCCACCAGGGCCACCCTCTGTTAAGGCTTCAATGAAAAGGCGCACCAACACTGCTCTGCGGGCAATGGCATATTCATCAATGACATATCTAGGAAGAAAATTTTGAATATTGTTGTTGGCTATTCATTCCCTTTTACTTACTTAAACAAAACTGGACGATCTTGTAGTCTACCCATGGCGCGACAAACCAATTGACCAATTTCATTATTTTCCAAATTCCTGCAATGATTTTGTGTCCATCTATAGAGACGTTCCAACGCACCCTCCTGATGCAACGTCATCTCTTCCATAATATCTGACGCCGCAGTTTGGTAGCCGCATTGCATTAGAACACGACATTCGGAATGTATCGACTGTACACGATCCAAAACATCAAAAAATTCCGGTACAATGGGTGTATCTTTTGAGGTGCCATATAGCATTTGATGTTCGGGTACACTTAATTGGAAACGTCCCAGGAATGCTTCTGCAATTTGTTTATGTACCTGGAGACGATCACGTTCCTCTTGCAGTGAGTTAGTTTGCTTGATCAAATCATGGGTTAAAGCTTTCGATGATTCCAAATCATTTTTCATTGCCTGTACTGAATCCGCCAACGTATCTAAGTCGGTAATCACTAAATCAAGACTGGTCTTGACTTCACGAAATGCCTTCAAAAATTCATCGTTAATAAACACCGAACGTTTTTCGATGCGTGAACGTAAGTTACGTCGGTTTTGTAGTGTGTTTTCCGTAAAGAAGTTCGACAAATCCTGCAGAGCTTCCAAAGTGTCCTGTAAATACAATAGAGAGATAAAAATAGTTCCAAAAATGTCAAGAAATAATACGAACTTTCTCAGCATCCAAGCGAGTTTCCAATATTTTATTGACCCTTTTCTGGATCCGATCTTCTTCTACTTCAACTCCGGATGTCGCTACCGGTGTCATTTTCCTTAATTCCCTTCAATAATTCAAGGAAAAGGAAGGATGATATGATTCGTATTGCCTCTGAACAAATAGTTCAATTTGATTCATTCACCAAAAAGTACAGTGAACTAGCGTTCACTAACGCCATTCGCTGTAAAGTGATTACACGCCACGTTACCCACTGTAAAATGAGTTCACAAAATTCATCAGCTGTTCAATTTCACATCACACTCATTCGTAAACAGCCTATCGTTATTTGCTTCGAGTTGATTGTTATCAGCCATTCTCTACTCTACCCCCCTATTCGTACGTTTGAGGAACGTTTTTAAGTCCTGAACTAGACAAAAAGAAACAATTTTTAATAAAAAAGTAAATTAAAATGAGTAACTCTGCCTTGGCCAGCTTGACCGCTCAATATACCGACTCGGAAAACGAGGAAGACCAAGAGCAATCACCAGATTCTCAAAATTCACAGACATCCATTGTAAGTACACAACAACCATGCATTTAAACGTTTACTTACAATCCACGGGCATTTCTTTCCAGGTTATTATTCCGCCACCGAAACACACACCACAACAGACTCCGGAAAAACGCAAGGCAGCTGCTGCATCACCACCAAAAAAGAAGAAAAAATCCAAAGATGTTAAACGTTTGGTCAGCTATCAAGATGATACCATCATCTCTGACGAAGATCGCAATAACGACGACGATGATGACAGTCATGAAACCCTATCCAGTGAAGAGTCCGAAAATGAAAATGTCATTAAAATTGAAGATGGACAGACGCCACAACGTAATGGTGGCACTCCCATAGAAATCGATGATGATTCGCTGGAAAAACAAAGCAAAGTGAAAGATAAATATGCCCGCTTTGCTCATTATGGCTTTACATTGCCACCTGAGCCAAAAGGAAAACCCCTTCCCGAGTTATCGGAGAAAATCAATCAACTCTACGAGAAAATGGAAAGTAACAACATGGATATGAATCGTATTATACAACAGCGTAAAGAATTTCGTAATCCTAGTATCTACGAGAAGCTTATTCAATTTTGTGACATTAATGAATTTGGGACCAATTATCCTCCGGAGATTTATGATCCCCTCCAATGGGGTCCAGAAAGTTATTATGAGGAATTGGCTTTGGTGCAAAAGAATGAAATGTTAAAGCGGCAAAAGGAAAAGAAAGATTCGGGTAAAATTGAACAGGTTTCGGCATTGGCTCGCAAGGTGGAAGAAGAGGCCAAAAAGAGGTGGGTATAGATGATATTTATTTAATAATATTTTGTAATATCTTGTTTTCGTTTTTTTTAGAAAATCCAAATGGGATCAACCTGCCACAGTTAATAAACCTACTGTGCCACCTCTAACTACAACTGTAACAGGTACAAAAGGCACAGTAATATCTGCATTTGGTTCGCTGCCTAAAAAACCCACAGCTTAGGGCATTTCTTTTTTAGTATTTTAAGTTCTTTGTAGTCTCTAAGTTAGTTCAATATAATAAAAATGTCTGTAATCAGCTAATATTTCATAAATCTAGAATTTTGTTTATATATTTATTAGGAACCATAGATTTTCATTGGAAATTGAACTACATAGATGAGGAGATCAAGGAATTTCGAAGCAAAGAGGGTTGAGAGTATGGATTTTTTTAAGTTTTTTTTTTTGGGAAATACAATATAGGTAAATTATTATTCATTGTCTTGTTTCTCCGTATAAGCTGCTGCGACAGATGAGCAGCATAATCTGGGAAATTAATAGGTGTAACGATCCGTATGGCATGTGTTGGGTACCACTGCTGATATGGGATAATCTCAGAGTAAAGCATTTATACGGTATTGCTCTACTGCCTTGGCGATGCCTTCAAACCTATCTAGAGCACTATCTCTCTCTAGATCATGAACATTTATTTTGAAGTGCCGAGGTGTTAAGGCATTGTAGGTACGTTCCTGATGACAACACCCGACCAGAGCAACAATGTGGATTTTTTTTAGGTTTTTTTTTCGAGAATAAGCAGATAGATTGAAGTGTTTTTTTAAGGATCAGCCCACAAATTTATGTTTTTCTGACTTTTTTTCGAGGATCAGCTGAAAAATTGATGTGAATACAGATTGTATGTGCTGTGTTTTTTAAATATTTTTTTCGAGGATCAGTTGAGATTTTTTGGAGGATCTGCTGACAAATTGAATTTGGTTTTTGAGGTCATGCTTCAATAATCAGATCAAAAACTAATGTTGACTATTTTCAGATTTCTTTCGAGGATCAGTTGTTCCAAAATTTTTAATTTTTTGCAGGATTTTTTTAATAGAATTTCGTTGAGGACCTTATTATATTAATATGCATCAGATACAACAACAAAGATTTTACAAAAACAACACATTTACTTTACAAACAATAAAGAAAAAAGTTTAAAAGCATATGATTGCCACTTACACCTTATTAAATACACCTTGATATTAATTATCATTGGTAATTTATGATTTTTATTTAAATGAAATTGGAAACGTATCCATTTTTTAGATTTTCTTCGACGATTTTTCAAACTAATCAAAATTTTTGTACAATAAATATTTTTGCCTTTTATCAATTAATCTTCAAGTCTACAGCATCCTTATTGTATCTCCAAGTTTGCAAAAAATGATCGTAACGCCGCCCATTTGCCAATAATAAAACAGAAACAACACCAACGCCGTCAACACTCCACACACTTTCAACCAGTCAACAACTCTGTACTCTCTGGTCCAAACAACGAACGACGAGTTTTTGGTCGGTCATTCTTTTTCGCGTGTGTGAATTTTGTTTCGTTTTTTGAAAAGAAAACCCTAAAGTAATATGAAGTAGAACCTTTGTAATTAATGGAAAACCATACGAAATTTCCAAATTAGTCAACGAATTAAATAAGTGCGGATTAAATAGCGGCTACGTGGCCACGGCGTTTTACATTTTCGTTCTTCGAATTGGACGTGAAAATCTTTCCAAAAGGTTGTTGGATTGGGGATTGGTATTTTCTCTGCTTCTTCTTTAGTTCTTTTTATATTGTGTTGTTTACGTGTGAGTGTGTTGTTAAGAGCGCGCGTAATTGTATGAGTGTGCATGCAAAAAACAAAATGTATGAGAAAAAAGCAACAATTGATATATGATAATGGTGGAAAAGAAAAGATAAAACAAATGCGAAAGAATTATGGCAAAAAAATAAGTAAAATCTCAAAGCAAAACAGAGGAAGAAGAATAGGCAATGAAAGTTCTTTTCCTGCACCTCACTTTATAACTCACATAAGTTAACAAAAACAAAATTCCTTTAGTTTTGTTGTAAAAGACTGTGACAAAAAAAAAGAATATGGCAATGGATAAGTGAAATAATCTCGTTTAAGTGCAATTGATGAATTGGATAATTACAAAAACAACAATCAAATTGAGAATAAGTGCTGGTGTTTTTATTGCCATGTATTGAGCGTGTGTGTGTCTCAGTTCCCCATCACTTAAAGTTCATTATCCATCCCATCCATTTGTCCATCTAAAAACTAAACAAAAAATAACACAAGAAAAAAAACATCAACCAAGCATCTCAAAGCAACAGTGTTGCCACCCTGTCAGTTTTATGTAAATAAGCAACTGCTTTGCTTTGCTGTGTTTGCCAATGACATTTCAACAACAACCAACCGCCATACAAACAAACAAATTGCATTCTTGCCTTGCTGTTTTTTATCTCTTCTTTTGTGTTGGCATTTTGTAAAATTATAATTACACAAAAGTGTGCAATGTAACAGCAACAACAACAGCAAATTGATTCTCAAGAAGTAAAGAAACATATTTGTTGTAATCATTTTTGGTTGTTGTTGGCTTGTTTGTAATATTGTGTATTGGAATGTGTAGAGTGGCTGATGATGATTGCCGTTAGCAGCAGCAGACAACAGAGAGATAGAGCCAATCAGCCAGCCAGCCACCACCCAAAACCAAATCCAGTGTAATTATTTTCAATTTAAAATTCTGATTTGTTTTATTTTTTTTTCGCCAACAACTACAACAACATTGTTCGTACACATTGTGGCGGCCACAGAGGAGAATTGCAAAATTTCCGTTGAATGAATAATTTATGACAGAGATCTGATGCGGTTTTCATTGATTCTAATAACTGAACACCGTACACAAAATGAAAAATAAAAAAGTACCTAGAAGAAGAAGGAGGAGGTGGAACGTGAACAATAATAATTTCAAGATAAAAATTAAAGCAAAACGTAAACAAATCTGTTTGGATGCTAAGGCAACAACACCCAAACAAATAAACATCTCCAGAGTAGCCGGTGGTTAAATAATAAAAAAAAATAACACACAAATGGCATGGAAAGGGCAAAATACCGATAGCTATGTTTATTTCAGTTGTTAAAAGCATAGCATGAACTGTTGCGTTCCGTTTTTTCTGTGTGGCTTTTTCGCAATTCTCTCACTTGAGTTTGTTGGTGTGTGTGAAATTACACCAACAATTAATGATGAAAGGCCATAGGTAATTTGATTTTTTTCAGAGAAATCTAACAGCTGATTTATTTAGTTTATTATCGTAATTGTTTTTGGATGCCTAGGAGTTCTTATTGGAATTTTTGTTTGCCTCCTTTTCTGATTGTTTACCCATTGCACACTGCAAGAAATCAGCTGAGCGTGTGACTTAGAGGAGTTTCATAGATTTTAGCTTTAAAACTGCAAATTAAAGAATAGAAACCAAATGAATCATAAACATGAGCTGGGGTTTGTATCGAATTTTGCAATGAGACGTGTTATTTTGAGAACAAGTGTAGTTAGGGGCGGTCGGGGATAGTTTTGAATATTTGCCATAGTAATCTCTTAAGGTCCTAATTTTATTCCAGCTAAAATCTTGCGAGTTTCTTTTATCTAAGGATATGAAAATATCCGCCACCAGATCCACAGATCTTTCGTCCGCGCAAGCCACTACTATTTCCGATAATTTGAGAAGTAGGAACAAGGTCTTGAAATCGCAGGCTGGCAGCAATAGGGCCCTGTTAATGAAGGAACTATGCGGAACGAGGAAGGATCGGTTCTAAGTGAGCACAAATTTATGGCTCGATCCCACCCACCTAACTGAAGCCCAGCATGTGTACTGACAAATCAAATGACCAGGTTGCAGTTTTCCTGAAGAATACGAATTGCCAAATTATAGGCATTTCAAAAGAAAAATGTGGCTAAAATCTAAATACCGAAAATAGATCGGTACTGGAAAGCAGAAAAAATGTTCATTCTAGGTCTTTAAGAGGTCCATCGAACTTCATCCTATATGAAACGATCAACGTCCTTGGACAGAAATGGAATATAGTGGAAATAGTGCCCATAAATTAATTAACTACGATGGGTAAACAGGACAAAAGGAATAAAGTTACGGTGCAGGGAGTTTATAAACCAGTACCGGCGACAATCGTTGGTGAAGTCACAAGACACATGTCGTCGAGCTCAAGCGATTCGAAGGACTGATGAAAATCCGTATCTGGCTGACAGGAATGTAGTTCTGGGAGGGACGACCTAGTCGGGACTTTAAATGCTATCTGCGATAGTCTACCATTCAACAATACCTCCCAAATTTCGGTATTTTTTCAACCAATTTGGCTTTAGGTTCTCATTGCTTGGCAAGTACTTCTACAAAAAATTATCAATATTAGCGCAAGGTTTGGGGAGCCTTCACATATTTAAAATGTGTAAGGACATTTTTATAACGAATTGTCTCTAAATTTTATAGTTTGGTTTTTATTGTTTGGCAACTTTTGTCTAATAAAAATGATAACTATCGATCCACATTTTCCTTTATCCACCTATATAATGGTGCCTCCACAGCATTCTGAGGATTTCAGATACGTTTTCCAACAGATTTTTCTACAATTTGATATTTTTAGTTCGAATTGTGTGACAATAAATATCAGCCGATCTCTGTGTATAGCCTCGATATAATGATCCTGCTCCCTTATATACTTTTTTGTGACCTCATGCGTATAAAAAGTTAATTACGGGCGAAATAAAAGACTTGTTAATTTTTCCTATATCTCTGCATTTTTAAGTCATAAATAGTAGTTTTCATAGTCCTCAGCTTTTAATTGTTTCACTCATTGACATCCTTCGTAAAGTTAAACCAAACATTGACAACCCTAATCATTAAACACATGTTTTGTTGTTGTTTTTGTTTAACCCCTTGCTGACACATTTTGTTTATATAAGACACAAATGAATGCAAATGCAATTTATGCTAATAATGATGAAGATGATCTTCAATCGGAACGAACACACATCTGTTTAAATAAAAATGACCAATCAGAGAAAGAAAGAGAAAAACACAACAGACATTTATTTCGATTTTGGAAATCATCATTTGCAATTTTTATTTTGATTTCCTTTATATTACCTATTCGAGATAAATTATGCCCACTAACAGATAAAAAAAAAACGAAC